TCACTAGTGAAAGTGTGAATAAACCACTTCTTGGTAAGTGGAAAACTGCCTTTCCTTAATTGATGGCTCTAGTTTATTTTTTCAGCTTCTTCCTTCCAACAAACTGGCAGATGAGACATTTTCTCCCTCTCCTTCTGTCTCCTCAAGCTTTTCTCCAAGATGGCGAAAAAAACCCTACAAACTGAAAATATCCTTTCGGGATTACCTCCTGAGCAAACAAAATCACATGAGGTGATCTAGTTAGCCAAACAAGCCAATTTTCCACTGCACTTATCTTTCTGGACCAGATGTGGCTGCCTATCCTCAGCCCCGCCTGAGCAAGCCTGTGCTATATTTTGTACGCTATTGCCTACAGTTCTGTGCACCTGGAAAAACTCCAGTACTGCCTAGGTGGGGTGCTCCAGTTGCACTGGAAACAGCTGCTGTGGCAGCAAAATAGGAGAACATTGCCCTTTAAGGCAGATGTCTTTTAAAAACCAGAAGATTCCTCCTTTTTTGTTTTTTTTTCATAGCTACAGCCTATAAATGACCTAAAAGATTCATCAGTCATTTTCAGACTTGAAAAGGAAGCAGACACCCTGGAACATTAACTGGCTATTAAAATTTTAAACAACAAAAAAAAAAAGTTATTTTAAATAGGCTTTGTGGTTCTTGGCCATGATGTGCCAAAAGACATCTTTGTTGTGTCTGCTGAGACAAGCAAGAACTGTGGAAAGGCTAAGAGGAAGAGAAAGCATTAATATTTTAGAAAACAATGTAAATTACACTAAAATCGTGACATAGCTGAGCAAGGAGCAAACAGCAGAAAACAAACAGTATTGTTCAGCTTTTCTATACTCAGAGGGCTAAGAAAGCTGATTTTTTTGTCAGCAGGATGCAAAGAACAGACACTGATTCAGGTTGGCACTTCTCTTCTTTTTGTTTATAATGGGCATACAGTTCTTGTAATGGCCAGGCATACAAAGAGATCATTAACGAGAGCAGAAGCAGCAGCAAAGCTTAAAATTCACAGGGGTGTCTCCACTTACAGAACTGCAGCAAAAACAGCTGTGTTCAACAACTTTGCCCAGCCAGCAACAAATCTTCTGTCAAAAAGTGGTCCCAAGACATGGCTTCCTATTCAGTGTGACTTAACCTTACCCCACGCACATCAAAATGCTTTTGTCAGAACATGTGCCGGGCTGCGTCTAAGAGGCTGTCACTCATGAAACACCTTGGGCTGCATGTTCCCATATCTGTACCAGTCCTCTCAAGAAAGGAAAAAACTCAAAGATATTTACATTCAATATAGGCTTTTCTGCCTTTTTTTTTTCCCTGAGGAAGCAGGTGAATTAGTTCAGTAATGAGGGCAGAATCCAGCTCACATTCAGACATGTAAATTTATGCATTCAAATATAGATGCCTGTGGGTGATACAATAAGGAGTCATTTCTGTTGCTCAGCTGCGAGTAGAGTCTTTTGAGACTTTGTGGCATGTCTGAGATGAGTATGACCTGGTAGAGCATTTTAAAAATCACCAATGTTAAGGTGCCTGAAGAGAGCCCCAGTATCTTGTCAGTGTAGTCAATGAGGCAGTTTTCAACTGCCTAAACACACTTACCTACTGACATGTGAGATGATCTGAATAGTCAAGACACCTTCACAGAGATGGCAAATACGACACTGGGACCTATGGGACGTTCAGATGCTACTGGTGTGGCAGCAGGACATGAAGCAGCATATCCCCCAGTAGCTAAAGTGGCACTTAAGACTCAATTCAGCTACTTAAAGAAATATATGCCTAATACAATTTTAGATACCCCAGATGCACAAGATCTCCCCCTCAAGCCTGTAGATACGATGCAGGACCTATGGGAAAGCCATTACCTTTCAGGGCTGGTAATGAGAAGAGGAGGAATAACCAAGAGTATTCAAATGGCACCAGATGTCTATGTTTGTGCAACTAAATCCCAGCAGATGAAATCTAATGAACTAGTCATCTGGCCAAAGGCACATGGGACTCCAACATCTGTCTCCACTCCACTGACAAATAAACTCCTGACTAGTTTCAACTAAATATTGTGTTGACTAGATCCAGTGAGAGTGGGACTCTGTTCATATGCAGACACTTGCATTTAGACATACAAGTTTGGGTATCTGTGTAAACCTAAAGATGAATCCTCAGCCTCTCAAATTCTTCTGCTCTTAGGCCCTAAATGACAAGAAGTTCATTTGCCTGGGAATTTAAGTATCCACCTAACCTTTAGGCAATCATAAACTAATGGATTTCTTGTGAGCCACATCTAGTATGGCTCCCTTACACATCCAGGTGAGGTGCACCAGACTGTTCTCCTGAGAGGTTAACCCCTCCGTGCCAGGAATGCTTTGGGCATCACCAAATCCTGAGGCAGATACTAGGCAGTGTGTGACAGATTGACTGAATCACTTCCTACGACTTAATGGGCTGGCCCATTTAAAGTTAGATGGTCTTCAGGACACCAGATCCACACTGATCACAGTGCAGAATATGAACCTCGATAAAAAACACAAACCACAGCACTCTCTAACTGCTTTAAATCTCCAAACTAACTCATATTCTCTCCATGTGAAAAGCTTACTAAGAACTCAGTGCATTCTTCTTTTACTACTGACAATAAGACAAGATGAAATCAAACATAAATCAGTCAGAGAAAGCCTGTGAACTGCCATTCAGAGCTATCCATAGCTTCTCATGGATGGCTTGCAATAAAGAGCAGCTAGCCCTTCATAAACAAGGAAAGCAATCCACAGGAATGCTCAGCAGTTTCAAATCACTTCTAGCTGCTAACAGCTATGGCCATTGTCATGGACAAGATACTGGGCAAGATGGACATCCTGTCTGAGCCGGCAGGGCAATTCTTACATTCTTACTTTTTTAATCAACTGCACCTTGAAATCACTGATTTACTTCTAGGCCGAGTAATTTATCTACAGCAGCCATTTCATTTGTAGAGACGTGTGACAGATGGAGGTGCTGTTCCTTTGCAGCCCAGAGCTTCCCTGTGTGCCAAGGTCTCCATCCTGCTGCCTCCAGGCAGCTCTGCAGAATTATTTCCAATTTCTATCTTTGGTGATTCATAACACTGCGGGCTGCAGTCCTCCGTACTAGGGGAGGTGGCTCTGTATTCTCACCGTAGTTAAGCCTGTACCACAGGAGTCTGGATGGGATCCCTACAGCATTGTTATTTCTCGTATGGTACTAGTGAAACAACAGGACATGTAGTTTGAGGCTGGGTATTTTTGGCAGTCATGTTTTGTTCTTATACGTTCACACTCCCCCGGGATTATTCTCATGTAAGCTTTCAAAAGCCACTGATGACAAATGAGTCTCATCTTGCAAAGCAAGTACCTATTACGATGAGACTAAACCCTTCCCTGGTGCAGCAAAGCAGTCATCATTTTGTGAACCTCCAGAAGCAATACAAAACTTGTCTTCCCTTAACCGTGACTTCACCAGAGAAAGTCCTTTCTTCTCCCTTACTTTCACATTTATTTTTAAGGTATATATTTATTTTTGAGACCAATATGAACATAACACTGGCAAAATCTGAATATTGGTAGAGAATTGAGCTGGCACAAGTGAGAGTGGAGTAAAATACTCTTAAACTATATCTTGTACCAGGATCATGAAAGTTTGCCAGTAGGAAACTAGGCTGTGCTATCATTACTGGCTGAGCACATACCCACAGGCAGAGTCCCACAAACATCAGTAGGATAGCCTGGTATGCAAACTAATTACAAAATAGACCAAATCTGGATAAAGAACATGAACAAAAGGTAGATCTGCCCCAAATCCCTTGCAGTCTAAACATGAGACAAAGATAGTAGGTAAATAAAGACAGATGAGAGAGAACAGGGAAGCAGTGATACACTGCTTTCTCAGGATACCATGCCAGTACAGAGAAATAATGTCAGCCTTTTGTCAGCCTAGCAGCTGTAAAATGCACAGATAATTTTTAACAGAGATTCAAAGCAGGAAAAAAGGTAGCTTTGCAGGTGCCTATAAGGAGAGTTTCCTAAGGACAAACAACAGCAAGGGACAAAGTGTGCGTATTTAACGAAAGATGATGAAGACTTTTACCGTAGGATGGTTAGAGGCATGGGCTGATTTTTGTAGGGGAGAGATACCTGCAAAAGCACACTTGCTGCCGGTGAGCAGCATAAGACTGCAGTTGCCGAGGTCAGAGAAGGGAATGCTTCAGTAATCAAGAAATTATAAGCTAAGAGCCTGAATAAAAATATAAGAACAAAAAATTCAGATGTGTGGATGGATAGGACATGCCATACCTTAAATATGTTATGTACAAAGCATGTGGGACATGCAAGCATAGCCTGTTTGTAAGGAATAAGAACCAAATCAAAGAGAACACTGGAGTTTAGCAAACTCATAACGCTGTTTATGGGCCTGAATGTCGGATAGGCTGGAGATGTTGTTCACAGTGGTCAAAAAAGAGATGCAAGGAAGAACTGGAGAAGAAAATTAAGTGCTTCCTTTAAACAAGGAGAGACATAGTGCCTCAAATAGCCTTCTAAACTATCTCAGAACAACAAATATGCTATATATAACAAAAGAGTTCATAATATTTAAGCAGAAAGAAATTAAAACAGAAGAATGTACTGTTAGATGCTTAAGTTAGTGTGCAACCTTTCATATCATTTGAGCATCTGAACATGCAATGACTTACTGCTGGCTGGTGAACCTCTTCCATAGTTCACAGAGCCAGTACTCTTGCTGGGGAGTATGTGATAAGTTAGGAGGTTGGAGCACTTAAATCTTTTCTGCTCTCCATGCAGCTCAGCTACTAAAAAGAGTCTTTAGAGTCTGTAAAATTAAAAACCATATTTTTAAAATGGTTTCACTGGAGCTGTTTAAGAACTGTGCAGTCATTATCACTGTCAAATTGCTTACACAACATTTACTGTACCGTCTTTTATTTCTGCCACTTACTGCATTTTAAACTAATCATTCATCCTGCTTTACAGATACTTGCCTGAGATTATGAACGATGGTTTGACCAACCAGATCAACAATCCAGAAGTAGATGTGGACATCACAAGGCCAGACACCTTCATTCGACAGCAAATCATGGCCTTACGTGTCATGACTAACAAACTAAAGAATGCATATAATGGAAATGATGTCAACTTCCAGGATACAAGTAAGAAACCGTTAACTGGCATTAAGTATATTTTTGAAACACATTTATAAATCTCTTCCCTTTGAATAGCATTCTTTGGTTTTTGTGCGCTGTGCTGCTGACAACATAACAAAAAAGTCTTTTTCTGTGCCATGAAATTCCAGTTATATTTTTTGTTTCTTTTGCTTCTCTTGCTTCTCTATCTTCATGTCAAATGCATGAAGACACTGAGGGCTTTCCATAATGCCAGCAGTCCACTCTTCTCTCAGAAGGGCATTTAAGCACCTAATTAAATCACGGTGGCTTTCATTTGGATGCTTTACTGAATGAAAGTTAGAACCATCAACACTTTCCTGTTGCCAAGGTGTTCATCCCCACCAGGGTGCCAGGTGGAACAGGAACGGAGAAAAGGGCCAAACGCTGTAACCTGTGGCCCTCATGGTTTTTTCCCTCATTCCTTTGTGCCAGGTGATGAGACCAGTGGCTCAGGCAGTGGAAGCGGCTGTACGGATGACATCTGTCCCACCGAGTTCGATTTCGTCACCACTGAAGCACCACCGGTTGACTCTGACAGGAGGGAGGTGGAGGCTTCAGCCACACAGCCTGGCCAGTCACTGCAGACATTGCTCATCGTCTTCATCAGTCTTGTACTGCAGAGACAGTGGAGATAATCCTAGATCTGGTCAGAGAAACTGTGTTTTAGGTACAGAAACAGCCAACTTTCTTCTTTTCTTATACTCTTGGACAATGGACCATGCCACAAACACTTGCAGTTTTCTACGAGAAGAGAGCAGTACTGCAACCTGCTTCCCTTTTTTGTTTTCCCAAAGAGTAACAGGTGCCAGACTGAACTGCTTCCTGCTTTTTTCAGATAACTCTGAAGACAATATCCGCTCTTAAGAGAATTCTTTCTCAAACCTTTCTTACAGGAGACTTTCTGAGCTACATCTCCTTTTATGCTGCAAAAGTAAAAAAGGATCTTACAGTGTGTGTTTTTCCCTAACAAGAAAAAAGAGGGGGGAAGAAACCAAGAAAACAGTTTTCTTTCTGAATCAGGCCTGACTTAAGGCTGCTGCATTTCAACAGAATATCAACAAAACTAAAAAAGACAGGAAAGGAACAAAAAAATGCAACCGTTCCTCACTGACAGCCAGGTTTCCTTTAGGAACTTCTGTAGGATGATTCAGGTCACCAGAATGATCATTGTTATAGGGAGGAAGTCTGGATTTTTTTCCAACACAAAAGTATGTCTTAACAGTGAATGTCTTGCACTCCATCTGCCAACCACATCAGATTGGTATGAAGGTAGAGAAGCTGAAAAATAAGTTTATCTTTTAGTCTGATAGTAATGCCACTAGCTTCAGAATATCATGTAACAGTTGTTTAGGATTTAAATCTTAATGCCCAGTAAAAAATTGAGTAGTAGCACGATTTCACCTAGCTTCTTTTAGTATTTATCCATGTTATACAATTGGCACAGATTTCCACTTAGCTCACCATCAGCCATGGTGCTAATGCTAAACAACGCTCCTGACAAATCTCACCTCAAGGGTTCGGACAGAACATAATCTCTTGTGATATAATCTCTTTCCTTTTGTCACTGTTCTAACATTGATTAGGACTTTCTGCTACTATGTTCATTATCCTACCAAAACAGCAGTTCTCTAATGGACTAACAGCAACCAGATCAATAGTGCGTTTCACATCTAACTACATCTTTCGTATCAGTTAATTTCAGTATCACAAGGATTTCTTCTGCAAAATTTCAGAACAAACAAATATATAGTACTGACATGGAGATTTCTTTCACTTTTTTAGTCTTAGTATGATCATCTATTTTTATATATATAAATATATATAAATCACAGATTTTAACTTCTTAATTACAAGCTCAGGGTTGACACTTCTTTGTAAGAAAAAAAATATTTGGTCAACCAGCTCTTCTTTTTTTGTGCTGCTCTGAAAAGCAACCCTTTAATGACTGGTGAGCACGAAAATCAAAGAAGAGAATTTTTTACATATCCAGTTGTCCATTTCTGGTTCGCAGGGTGGGGGAGAAAATCTCTCTCATATGTGTGCATTGGTGGGGAGCATGTGATTTTATGTGATAGGCCTAAAGAAGGACAGGAATGTTATTTGTGATAGCAGTTGTACTCTCAGATTCTTCAAGGATACATTGCTTTAATAATCATTGCCTAAATGACCATGGTCCTGTAGAGAGTTTCCCTAATTTGCGTCTGGTCATAAGACTGGAGGTGGAAGCTATTTAAATCCTGGGCAAATGATTGTCAACAGTTACACATCAAAACCTTCCCTCTTCCATCAGCCACAGATGAAGGCTTCTGTGACAATTCTGCATGGTGTTGAAATGATTCGCCAGAAATTTATTTCCTGATTCCTATGGTGACTCTGGAAACGGTATAGACAAATTATGGAAACACTGTAAAGCCAGCCAACTACATTACAATTTAACAGCAGAGCAGGTCGATCATATCCATTGCAATCTCTTTTTCTTTTCAAATTATAATTAGCTATCGATTTAGGCATGAAATTAAAGTAGAAAACACGCAGCACATTAGGATAAAGTATACTTAAGCACTTTTACCAAAAAGTATTTACAAACTATCTATATAGTATGTCTAATTAAATAAAGCATAGGCTTGGAGCCACTTGTGTTTCCTTCTTTTTTTCCTATTTGTTTGTTTACTTCAAAGTATAATGATCTACTCTTTTTGGCCCAGCCTAGTGTGCAGGAGTTGCTGGTTAGGTGTTCAGATCCTGCATGTCTTACACTGGCCATAGCAGTGCTTCCTGCTGCTCTGATGGTTCGCTCTAGAGCGGACCTCATGATTGAGCATTTAATGCCTTTGGGAAGTTAAACAGCAGAGTTTATGCTAATTTTCACAGGCTTTTTCATTGGCCCTGGTACAGCAGGTACAAAGAAAAGGATATGTTCTTTGATTTTTTTTCCTGAACTTGCATATGCAACTTTCTACAAGGATATCCATTTAAAACTCTTTCCCTGGTCCATCTCTTTCTACCCATCTACACACCCTTTCTACGCTTCTCCTCCTCAGCAACCTCAAGGACAGTTGAGTGTCATTTTGATTTTTCCCATTGTGTGTTTGTTCAAGGATAACTGATACTATTTCCATCTGATTATTCTGGAAGCTTATTGACAGAAAACGAAGTCCTCTGAGGCAGGTCCTCTGTGGTACCTGCTCCCCACTGCTGGCTAAGGAACTGATGGACCCCTAGTGGGGGGGTTTAGCCCACATTTAGGTGACCTGATGACTCTTCAGCTAGTGCAGCCAAACTGGGTGTCCAGGGTGCTGTCAGCTATTTGTAGACCTCCATGGACTCTTGGGCAAGGAGTAAAAGGTATTCCTAAGAACTAGGGGGTTTGCTGAAGGCTATTCTCACTCGGGGAGCTTGTAGGAGGGACCCTGCTCTGCTTGGACTGGTCTTACAAACTGCTGGTGAAACAACAAACCAGAATAATCTTTGCCAAAATGTGATCATCTTGTGTGATTTCTGCCAGAAATTTATGTCTTCCATATTATTTCTCCTCTTATTTTCCTACTATGCATGGTGATATCTTGTCAGGAGATGGAGATGCCTTTGCATGAGGTATTAGGCATACATTTCTTTAATAGTCCCTAAAGGTTGAATACTCTCTTCATACATTGCATTTTTCTGAGATTCAGAGAGCTATTAAATCTACAGAGCAAATGACATTGGGAATGAAGGAAAGAAAAGAAAGACCATTCGTGTTCATAAATGCAAGAATCTACATAATTTCCAATGCTTCTATTTGCACATCCTTTACTTCCATTAACTGTTCTTCTAAGGTAATTTTTTGGGGTGCCACAATTTAAACATTTCTCTTCTTTTAGCAGCCGGTAAAGTAAGAACTTATAAAGAAAACAATTACCTGTTCAAGAAAGAGGACCTTAGTCCTAAGGAAAAAAATCCTTTAATTGTGTAAACCCTTTATACTCTGCAATCCTGAAGTTCTTGCCATTTTATGTCCTTTTACTGTGGAGGCTCTTAAAAAATCAGATGCAATGAATCACACAGACAGTGCTGTAGTCCCCTGTGAGGTTTTCCATTTTAATATTAATTACATTGATTTTACATTGTCCCCAAATTTTTAGCGTTCACTGTACCACGGATTTTTATACTGATGACTCAGTACACACTACTGTAACTGCGGTGCAGAATACTTGAACTCTGGCTAAACTTAGACATTTCAAAAAAGGCAATCAATCAGAAAGAACTGAAAAGAGAGGGTAAAGATTTCCTGCTGGAGAGGAAGAGCAGAGGAACCTGTGGCTCACGGTTCTGGTAAGGTAGCTGATCTAACACAATTCCCTAAGAGGCGTCGCAGAGCTCTGTCCATGGAAAGCTCCCAAAATCTGAGTCTCAGTCATACAAATTAGCCCAGATCTGTGGGATTTTTAGGAATGATGATTCCCACAGCTGTGTGAACCAGTTTGAGCTGCTTCCATGCAAGATGTCTGTGAGCTAGAGCTGTTCTTGGGAAGTGGACCCTGCGTGCAGTGTCTCAGCAGGCAGCAGCTGCCTTCAGTTTACTAACCAACCCTGACTCATTATCAAGTGTAACTATACATATTAACTTTTTTATTACTTCAACATGAAAAATAAATTACAGCACTGATGCAAGTTGTGGTTTTTGTTTTTAATTTACTTCCAAAGATAATCCATTACAATGGAATACAGAAAATTTTTGAATTATTCTGCTGGGAATATCAGGTTTCTGCAGATTTCATTATGAAAACAAATGTTTGAATGAACTTCAGGTATTAAGAAGAAGTCCACATTTCAAAGACTACAAAGTTATATTTATATCATATTAACCCATAAATTTTCAAGCCTGCTGGATGACAGTAGAGTTAACAACAGTGGAACATCACATAGAACTGCAAAAACCTTAATTTGAAAGGGAAAGTCAACAGTCAACAGCTAAGACTTAGCTGTGGGACTGAGAATAAGTTGTCAAAACACAATAAACACAGCAACGCATACTTCCAGGAAAATTAGGGCATTTGATGCACTGAACAGGGCAATGTTTCCATTACAGCTACTCACATGGACTGTGAGGATCCTATTAACATGTGTAATTATGACCCTTTGTTGATAAAGCAACGATAAAGACCAGAGTACCATGGTAATGGGGTACATGAAAGATAAACAATATGGTATTAATAATGGAGAACCAAGAACTTTGAAACTGATTTTTAAAACAAACTTCTAGCACCAGGCAAGAGAGATGGTCTCCAATTAATTCAGTCAGAGCATTTTCCAACATCTATCTTATTCAAAACTGCTGACCTATGCAATCACTTGAGAGTATTTTGCCAATGTAATACGAAGTATTCATTTACAGTAGTTACTGCTTTTTCTTCTAAACTGACTACATAGTTTACAATTCTGATTGTGCATCGCGTGTTCATATAACAAACCTGTGCATTGCACCTGTGTGAAATCCCATCCCCGTGACAAAGCAAATGGGAGGTTTGTCATTACCAAGGCTTTTGATTATAATCAGGGAGAAAAAAGTAAGTCCTTTTTTCTGGAAGCTGTTCATATTTGATTTCTTTCTGAATCTCAATAAACAGCAACATTGTCCATAAAAGAGGTGACATTA